AAGAAGCATTTTGATATCTTAATAACCTGATACCATGAGACTGGAAGGTGCCGGCTGTATAGTTGGAGCAGAACCAACATCCAGTGACAGGGTGCGTTTGCAACAGGAAGATACTTAAACTGAAAACTGAGGCTGGGTCCAGGACCTCTGTGGACACTGCGAGTTCTAGGGGGTATCTTCCACAGCATGAGAGGCAAGTGGGCATGTAAAACCCCAGGCTCGGGGAGAGAGCGGGGTGCAGGTGGGGGAGGATAGGGTGTGATGGAAACAAGTGTGGAGAACTGTGATAAAAAGCACCTGACAAAAACAACTTCTTTATTTTAGCTCCCAATTGAAGTCCACCATTGCAGGAAGTCAAGGCCAGAACTTGAAGCAACTGGTCCATAGTCAGGAGCAGAGAGAGAATGACATGCATGTCTACATGTTCTTCTGGATAGCCCATGAAAGGATGCTTACCTCATTCAACACAATTTGGAAAAAATGCAAATTCTTATAGGCCGATATGATCAATAGGTCAAGATGAATCCTCACCGAGATTCTCTTCCAAGGTGAGTCTAGATAGTGTCAGGTGGGCAATTAAAATTAATTATCACAGACAGGTAACCTGGGTCCTATCAGCAGCATTAGAGAGGGTTAGCACTGGGTGAGATGCGGGCCTGTTAATTCAGTACTCAGGAGACTGAAGCGGGGGATGAGTTTAAGTTCAGCCTGAGCTGCCAATTAAGATTTTGTATTAAAAATGAAAAAAAAAATTAGGAAGACATGTAGAATCTTAGTTTGATGGAGATTAAATTTTGACAATGGTGCTGGCTGGAGCAGAAATTTAATGTAATCTTAATAAACCTCAGTTCATATTCATTTGAGAATCCTCTCCACTTTACACGATCAAGGGAAGGAGTCAGTAGAGAAGGGTTCCTCTGCCAATGGTGTCCTCTAACTGTGAGGACTGCATTCATATTCTAAACCTCAAAATCTCCTCAAAGGGGTCCGCAGGTATCTTAGATTCAAAGTTTCTAGATCTAGCACCCCCGAGCCTGTCTTTCTTTTATTCCTTTTGCAGTGTAAATGGCAATTCCGTCTTTCAATGGTCAGCACCTTCAGTTAGAAGTTACCCTTGATGCCTTGATCAAAACCCACAGCTGCCTTGTCCAGTGTGCCTGGCTTTGCTCTCCATGTATAACTAAAGCCTAACCACTGTCCACCTTTCTTCCTCTAGGACCATCTCATCCCATCTGTATTGTTACCCATGGTCCTCTCTTGCCCTTCTGCAGACTGGTACCCACCCCAGCAGTCAGCAATCATTTTAAAAACGTTAGTCAGGTCAGACTTAGGCTTACACTTTCCTTTGGCTGTCCAACTCACTTGGAGGAAGAAAACAAAAACAAAAACAAAAACAAAACAAAACAAAAAAACATAACCACGCTCTGTTGGCTGTGCCATCTAGTTCTTGGTCACCTCTCGCCTTCTTGTGCCTTTATTCTCCACCCCAGATCATCAATTGCTATCTGATCTCACCACAATGGCCACCTTGCTTATCCTCACAGACAGCAGCTAGGTCCCCACTGCAGGCCTCTTGCATGGGTTGTCTCCTCTGTCTGAGACGCGCTCTTTTAAATGACTGCATAGTCTATGTCCTCTCCTCTTTCAGATCAGTATTCTGCTCCTGCTGTCCTGAACAAAACAATGGCATTTCTCAGCCCTTCAGCATTATTCTTGTTGCAATCTGTAGCACTGTTCCTTTACTTTGAAAAATAATAGGTTAAATAGTGCCATGGTAACAAGTCCTCAAATTAAGTAGATTACAACGTAGGGGTTATCCAGCTTGTACTGGCTTCTGAAAGCCAATTGTTAATTTTCAGGAAATTTCTGAACTAGTTGTTATATATAGCCATTTTTTAAAAACTAAATGAAATAAATGTATAATTAGCTATGCATTACTTCTTAATTATAATACTACTACTAAATTATTCTTTTTGCCTATTACTGTAACCTACAGCCTTGCAGGTATTTATGGCTGATGTACCTGTGTGAGGGAAATATTACATAGTGACAGTATACAGTGCAAATGTTTCTAACTCAAGACTAGTGATGTGCATTAGCCATCTTGAGAGTGTTTGCACACTGGTAAAGTCAGTAAGAGCCACAGATTAGGTGTGTGTGTGTGTGCATAAAGTGATGAAATAAATATTTACAATGCACATTAAATTTAAAGTAGGACATTTCTGCACCCATTGCAATGTGAATAACACACACACACACACACACACACACACACACAGAGAGAGAGAGACAGTAGCTAAAAAATACATATCACATACCGAACTTATTCTCAAACCAATGAACTCATTCACACCCTTGATTCATGAGTGGTGTTCTAAATTTTATCTATCTTGTTTCACCTTTCCTTGCTTAGGAACGGGAGACAGTTGGTTTGGGCTGTCAGCTTGATGGGCCAAGAGGTACCCAGGGTTGATGGAGTGCACCTGTGTGTCTAGTGAGGTGTTTCCAGAGACAGTTTACAGACTGGACAGTGACTGCTAGGAAAAGGACAAGGAGGGCATGGGCCAGCAGATCTCTTTCTTTCCTGAGTGAATGTGTCTCTTGCTGCTGCTTGCTGCCAGAAGACTCCAGCTTCCTTGGCCTTCAGCATGAACTCAACCCCTCTCCAGGGATGTGCCCGGCTTTTAGCATTGGATCGGAACAGCCCAGCATCCTGCTTCTTTGATTGCGCATCTGGTCCTTTCTTCCTCCAGTGTGCAGATGGGCTTTGTTAAGACTGCCCGGTTCCTATTGCGTTAGCCAATCCGATAAACCCTGTGTATGAGAGAGACAGGGGAGAGAAGAGGGAGACAGAGACAGGGAGGAAGAGAGAAAAAGAGAGAGACATTCTATTGGTTCTGTTCTTCTAGAGAATCCTTCCTAATACAAGTGATCAGATCAATCAATATTTAGATTGGAAATGCACCCATTTGTGTATTGGAACCATAGGCTAACTATAGATACATAATGTCAACACAAATCAACCAAAGAATTCTCTATCAACAGGGTGTCAGCAATTTCTACACAGTACTATTTCTCTTATTTGCACATCACACCATTTACATCAGCAAAACTGACACCAAACATCTGAACATACTCTCGTACTCAGATCTGTTCTTAACTATTTGTGAGCACATTTCCTTCCTGTGTACATGCTATGCCTGTCATGGGTCTCCTGCTTACATTCCTCACTCTGAGCGTAAGTCATGATGCTCAGACTGCCTGTGGTATTGCCAACTGCTGTGTTGGGTAAAGAACAGTATGGCAGAGGTCTATCTAGCCGTGCCACACACTACTTCTGTTTATCCTTCATTAACTAAAGTAAGTTAGAAAGTCATACCTACGTTGAAGTGAGAAGGGAAATACAAGGCCCCCATGTGTCTGGAAGAAGGAAAAGCAGAGTGATAGTGTTTATGAAAAATCACTATATTAGGAGTCTCTCTCTCCCTTCTTCCCTGTGTGTGTTTGTGTGTGGTGTTACTCTCATACATAAAGGTAGCTCCCACCAGAGCTGATTTGCTCACTGTATCTTTTGCAGATGCTCAATACTTTAAGCGGTTCCGAGGGAAAAACAACTTGGAAGAAGGAAGCTCTTGAAAGCATGGGTCAATGGAGGCAATCTTCATTTCATGTCTTTTCCAGTTCTGGATGAGCTGTGATTTTTTTTCCCCACCCATCACTAACATATGAAGCTGGGACTTTTGTGCTGAGAGAAATGACACAGATGCATGTGACTTGTATTAGGGTATAAAACAGAAAAGGTCCAAGGTGCACCCACTGAAGAGGTTTGATCTCATCAGAACAAGCAAGTGAGCCTGGCATCTTGGACACCAATTGAAGGAGATGTCACCGTCAGATTTGTACAAGGGCAAAGTAATCCCTGAAAGAGTACCTGCTTGTATTTTATGCCCTGGTAACTCTCTTGGTACACTCTCAATCCTAGCCCTGCAGCCAGGGCATCCTTCGGGAACCAGCTCCATAGTCTAAGGGACACTTCTAACTGTAGAGGTTGTTTGCAGACAGTCGGGTGGCAGCAGAAGCCAGAGAATCCTGAGTATGCACTCTGGCTGCTTTAAACATTCTCAGGGCTGAATTATGCCTCCAAACGCTGACAGGCAGAACAAGCAGGAGGGAGGCATCCATTATTCTGGAAAATGCTTCATGCATTCACCTCACGGTTGTGAGTCTGAAGCTCAGGTGTTGGCTGTTATTCCAACTATGCTTGATGGTGTTGCATATCAGTAATGCCAACGGCACTAATTCTTATTTACTGAGTCCCTGTTATGAGCCAAGGAAACACTATGCCGGGCATACACACATTGCCTTGTTCATCAACCAGTATAGACATCTATTCCCTGGGGACTTCCTGTCTAGCCAAAGAGAAAATTGAGCCTTGGGAAGATTAAATAATTCTAACAAGGTCATCTAGGAAGCAACAGAACCAGGATCTGAGTGAGTCTTTTCGAATCTCAGGTTTGGAGCCTTTAAGAAGGAACTCCTCTACCAATCCATAAAACAAAAGTTAAGAAAAAGGGGAAAAAAACCACTATTGAGGCAACATGAACTCAAGATAGTTTTACACACACACACACACACACACACACACACACACACACACACACACACATTTTTTGTTGTTCTTATTGTTGTTTTTGAGACATGGCCTTACACTGTAGCCCAGGCTGACCTGGAAGTTATTGTGTAGTTCACAACTCACAGCAATGTAGATTCGAATTCAAATTCATGGCAATTCTCTTGCCTCAGCCTACTGGATACCAGGATTACAGAGCTGAGCTATTTCATGTGTCTCAGACACAGTGAGGTTGCTTACACAAACCCTATTCTAAAACCAACTAACCAACCGAAGAAAACCCAAAAACTAGAACACATGCACACCTATATTTATTAACATACTTCTCTCTCACTGAGCAGAAAGAAATCTCAGTTTGACAATAGTTGCCTTTTTTTTTTCTTTCAATTTTTATTGAACACAAGTATTCTGACAGAATGCAAAGTCAAAATTCTCAGTTAGTACTCAGTATTTACAGCAGTGAGAATGGAAACAAAGGTGGTGTCGATGTTTCACTCAGTAAAAAGTTTTATAACAAGAGAGAAGGCCCCCGAAGTACAGAATGCTAGGTAAGGATGTTAATGGAGGTGTGATCACCACCATCCAGACGGACAGCTGAGGGTGAGACCCTGGGACGTGGGAGGTTCCATAGAAAAGTGAGAACATAGAGTCTTATTGAGTACACCTTGGCCCTTCAGGATTGGGAGACCCCACTCATGGCACCTGGGTGGCCTTCCCACAGAACTTGGCCATGCTGGTCTTTATGTGATACATATGTATGCCACATAGACATACGACACAGCAACATTGAAACTGGTGGAGTCCATCCCTCCTTCCAAAAACTAAAAACAAAACAAAACAAAAACCCAAAGAAACCAAAATAGAAAACTGTAAGTGCTTATCTCATCACATAAAAGATAAAACAGGTGGGTAATATGCTGTCTTCCTCTTTGATTTTAGAGAGATTACTGCTATTAAAAAAAGAAAAAGAAGAAAATAAGAAAATTTATGCATGCTGAGACAAACATATGTATAAAGAGAAAGGCAGATCAAAGTGTGGACAGTCTTGAATTCCAGCTAATGGTGGGGCCAGTGTTCTGGAGGTGAGCCACCCTGGGCCATGTTATTTTGGGGATGGCCATAACTCTGACTCTTTTTTTTTTTTTTTTTTATCAGAATTGGGCTCAATTTTTCAACCCACAAACAGAGTGAAATATACCATTTCCAGGAGGTACTGTGTGCCCTCATCCTAGCTGGTCAAGCCACTGACTTCACAATATGGAAAACGAATTCCATTGGACGGGCTGTGGCCAGAGGAGTCTGGCCCTCAGCCCTAGGACCTCTCTGGCGTACGTGCTGCCCACCTCTCCCACTCTGTTATGAGCCTGCCCTCTCTAACGTCTTCCCAATACCTCTTCCTGAGGACCTGTGCATGTGAACTGTGGATCTGTGCAGGCCCTGGAATGAAAGGGACCAGTCTGAGTGTTCTGGGATCCTCCATTTCCATCCCCAGGAGCTGAGAAAATGCAAAATAACCCCACATTGAGCAAATGACAAGACCATTATTTTTTTCACAGTTTGAAATTATAATCTAGCATCGCCACTGATCACACTGCAGAAGTGTCAGAACATTGGGGTGTGTGTCCCACAAAGCGGACACGGGAGCCGTCTGGCCACCCTAACCTATTGTTGCTTTGTACTTGGGAAAGGAACTCGAGCTGTCGGATGGACGTCTGTTGGCTTTAGTGTCCTCTTCATCAGCGTCATTGTATTTCATTTCCTTTGTTGAAAGGCTTCTATTCCTTTTGGGATTTCTTTTTTTTTTTAATTTTTCTTTTTTGTTTCCTGAATATTTTTTTTCTGAACTATCTGCTATACCTTCCACAACCAAACTATGTTGAAGTTTTATTTCAATACTATGACAAAAACACGTTTCACACTAAAATATTCACGCATCCACAGTGCACAAGCTTGCGGTTCTAAAGAAGAATGAAAAACAAAAGCGAAATTTCTATACAAAGGGCTGGCTTTTCCCTTCCCTCCCTCCCATCCCCTGAAAGTTTCTGTGTTTCCCCCCATACTTGGTTTCTGATCCAGGAAAGTTTTATTATAACTCCAGACAGTATTTGTTTTTACAAATGTCGTCTAAGTGAACAGAAGGCCAATGTCATTTTACTTCAACAGATTTCCAAAAGGAGACACTACTTCCCTGAAGCACACGTGCTCTTCCGCTCAAATCTAGATTCTGGGCTCTAAAGGAAATGGTATGTATATATTTTATTTGGCTTTCTACAAAAAGGGGGTGTTTGGGCTTAAAAAAAAAAGTGTGTTCACCAAGACCAGCCCCAACTATACAATCTTCTCTGCTTCATTCAACAAAGCCAAAGGGCCCTTCAGAGGAAGGGTGTGCAGACACCTGGAGGCAGGCCCAGTGTCACAGACACAGGTGGCAGCTAATCAGAAAGTGGTCTAACATTCCCTCTCTCCCCCTAAGAAACAGCAACAGAATCAAACAGGAAAAAAAGGCAAAATCATTCCAGAAGGAGGGGGCTTTCACCCCAGTTTGACACAGGTAAAACTGCAATGAATCAGAACTGGGGGAGTGGAGTAGAGCCACTGTAAACAATCATCTTTTGTAACCTTCACCCTGTGCTAAAAGCAACCTGGGAGGATTCTACCTGCCTCTACGGGGTACCTGTTGCTTAAAGAAAAAAGGGTTGGGGGCAGCTATTTTACACAGACATTAAACACAACCAAAGTCAAACGTGTCAACTTGTAAACACTGGAAAGGAAACTTGGAAGAGAGGAAGAAAAGGAAAGAAAAGAAACAATGTAAGAAAAACAAAAGCAAAAGAAATTGAATAAGCTGCGATTTGGCATTCCTCCTAGGAACAGGAGCCTACATGGGAACTGAACGCAGCTAGCTAGAGTGCCACACTTTGCATACAGAACAAATACAAAGTGAACAGAAAGTATAACTTATTTGTGAGGTTCTACAGTCTCAACTTGACTGAAAGTATAAAAATAAACTGTGGACTGGGTTCATTCGGTTAGTCTGAGTTCTTGGAAGCATTCTTCTGAAACTGATCTGTGCCAATTGGGTAACACCAATTGCAGCCTTCCTGAACCTAGATTTTTTTTTCCTTTTTCTTTCTGAGCTTCCTAGATTCTTAATTTGGGGTCCTTTTGTTTGATTTTTAAATGGTTTCAGGGAACAGAGTGTCCTAGTTTGGCTGTGGGTTTAACCTTTTTGTCTCATTTTATTTTTTAACAAGTGAATGTGAAACAAAGGAGCCCTTTCTAGAAACCTACAAAAAGGCGATCCCATGTTTATCTGTTTTTGTTGTTTTTAAAGGCAAAAGACACTAGAGGAATGAGTGTGTGTGTGTGTGTGTGTGTGTGTGTGTGTGTGTGTGTGTGTGTATGAGATCGGGGATGCTCTGGTGAAGCCACTGTGTCACTTTTTATTTTGATCTTTGCTTGTTGCTTGGTACCCATCATGCTTTGCTCTCATTCTCTTTTGTTTGTGTGGCATCGTTGGGGACCGTCTTGACTTCAGTTGGTGCTGGCTTTGCTTCTGACTCCTGGGGCTCAGACTTTGTTTCTACCGGACCCTTCCTGCAGAGAAACAGAAACAGTGTTGCTGAGACCACATCCTACAGCTCTGCAAATACTGTCTTCCTCCCCACCCCTCTTCTTATGCCACATGGGAGGGGAGGGGCTTCAGTAGCAGCTTCAACATCCAACTGTGCATGCACACTGGAAACAGTTGAGATCACCTGAGAGTTCTTCAAATGCTTCACGCCTGGGGCATGTTCCCAGAAACCCTGGGTACAGTGACTTTAAAAGCAACCAAGTGATTCCAAGGTGCAGCTAGGCAGAGACACACTAGTCAATAACAATCATTTCCTCCTCCAGACTTAACTGGCCCCAGCCCATTTTAACCTGGGGCAGGAGAAGAGAAGAATGAGGCCCTCTCTCTCTTACCATGACAAGCAGAAGCACAGTGGCTCAGCTTGCTATAAGTGGGGCGCCCCAGGCCCTTCTTTGGGTACCAGTTCCAGGGATCCCTACCATAAAGCACCTCTCTTGTGCCTGCCCCCAGATCTTCATCCCACACTGTTTCAGGATGGTGACTCTATGGCGTCTTGAGTAGGCTGGGAAAGTACTGTTACCAGAGTGGCAAGAGGCTAGAGTGGGCCTGCTTACTACAAGAGACTGGAAGGGCCAGTACCAAAGACACACTGCTGCAAGTGCAGCTATCGGTTGACTCCACTGTATTTAAGACACCTGAAGGTTGAGAACTTGAACTTGGAGACAGACATGAGTGTCTGAGAGGTCTGGGTAGGGGAAGAATGGGCCTCGCAGCCAGTGTGTGATAGAGCTGTCTGTGGCGGCACTCTCCTTGCACATCACCTCACCAGGGCTACCTTATTTCTTCCTGAATAGCATGGTCCCTTTCTCAGGAGGATTTGGCCTGGTCCTCGATAGCACACACTATGGGTCCAGGATGGCAAATAACAGCACCTTGGCCTCCTAACTGCCTCCTCAAACTCTGCTCCTCAGTGACCCTACTGCAAAGGCATCCCCAGGGAAAACAGAAGTACAGCTAAGATGATACAGGTGAAACATAATTAACATGGCCTAATTATCCAGCAGGCGGCCGATTCACTCATCCCACTGCCTGTCCACTTGTGCTTCCGCCTTGTCCCACGCCCCTGGCTGACAGTTGTCTCACAGAAGCCCTGCAAGAGGCTGAGGACACATCAAACAAGGAGGACATAGCACAGCACAAACACACACCACCACAGGACACAACCCAATGACAGCGGACAAAGAGAGTCCGTACTCGGTCTTTGCTGGTGCCGGTGGCACAGCGCTGTCTGCAGTGGAAGGAGCAAGCTCAGAGGCTTGTCCACTGGCCCCAGTGGCAGGAGCAGGAGAGCCCAGGGCTGCAAAAACATCCTTTGCAAGGTCAATATCTGGGGTCTTGAAGTTCCCTTCGTCCATTTTTAAGTCCTCGCCCTGGGAAGGGTTTGTGGTGCTGACGGAGGCAGCCTTGCTCTTCGGGCTAGCAGGGGCTGTGGCTGCCTCGGGTGGGTTCTTCACGGCGCCAGGCTGGGTGGGCTCTGGGTCCGGGCCTTTGGTGCTGGGGCCTTCCTGCTTGGCCTGGGGGGCTTCTGTGGCAGGGGCGGCTACTGCTGCTAAGGGGCTGGCTGCCCCGGCTGGGGTGGGGGTTGGAGCTGGGGAAGGCTTACTGGCTGGAGGGGCCTTGGAGGCCTCCCCGGCACTGGCAGGTGTGCTAGGGCTTAGAACAGCTCCTTGGTTAGCTAGGACAGTGGAGGACAAATTGCTAGCAGAAGCAGTTGAGGTTGGGGTATCACTCAGGTCAACAAGAGGAGCAACTTTTGGGGCTGAGGCTGAGGGTGAGGACGAGGCAGTGACACTAGGCCCCTTGGAAGGGGTGGCCTGACCAGTGGGCACAGAATTTGAGTCCGGCACAGCTGTGGCTGGTGGGGCAATACTGGAAGTCAGTGTAGTGGTCTCACTGGTGGGGCTGTTCTGAGCAGTGGCAAAAGTTTCGGTGATAGTGTCAGAGTTAGTGGTGACGGTGGTGACAGAAGGCAGCATGTCCTCGACAGTGGCTGTAGTGTCAGCAGGCAGCCTGTGGGGAGGACAGGAAGTAGAAAGAGAATAGACAATGAAGCTGAGACATGACAGAGAAGCTAGATAGGAGCCAAGGAGAGGAACTGTGGGTGGGCATGCAACCATACACGGGCAGGAACATGGGCCCACAGAGAAACGAGGACGAAGAGGAAGTACATGCCCCAGGCGGGCAGAAAAGGACACAGGAGACAACAAAGAACGTGGCAGTCTCAAAGGGATCCGCTAATCTTCCTCCATGCTGATGCCCCTTCAGCTCTCTGTACAGGGCTCTGGTTCCCTACAGATCTGTCTAGAGTTCTCTTGGGCTGCCTCAGATCTCCACTCCAGAAAAGGCAGCTGATGTCAGTCATCTACCTCTCTAGGTTTTCGGAGCCCCAAGAAATGGGGTCCAGCTGACTTACAATTCTTCCTAGGCAGGGATGGGGGAAGCCAGGATGAGGAGGACCAGGGCTCCTGTGTGTCTGTGGCTCTTCCAGCCACAGATTTATGCTCCTGTGAGACAGATTTTCTTCAAGGCTATCAGGTCCTTGATAGCCTAGTGGGCATTACAAACATGGCTGACCAGAGCCCCCCCCGAGGAGCTCCCAGGTTTCTGAGTGGAAGAGGCCCAGGGAACCTCACCAGGTCCCCAAGAGTTTTGATAAACCTAAATGAAATGGGCTAGTCCTCTCTCTCAATGAGGTAAAGCCATTCCTAGAATACGTGTGGAATTTTGGAGTCCCACTTCTGCACCCACCATGACTCAAGGAGAAATAAGAATGTCTTCTCTCTCAGGAGAGTGGGTTCAGACATTGTCTGGCTGGAAGGTCTTCTGACCCAGGGCTCCAAAGCTCTGGCTTCCATGTTTGGCCAGGAGCCAAGGGGGAGAAGCAGGGAAGGTTGGGGTAGGGTGATGAGGTTGGATTTGGGGATCTGAGGAAGCGTTAGTGCCTCTTAGTCCACGTACTCAGGCTCTGTCAGTGGCGTAGTCTCATTGGGCTCTGTGTGCTTCCCTCCATCATGGTTGGGGGTCCGTTCCTCCTCTGTTCGGACCTCCACAATGGGTTCTTTGGACTCATCTTTCCTGTGGAGAGAGTTCTGTTGGTTAGAGCCCTGGGTGGCTTCAGGAGATCTCTAAGAAAGAACCTGTAACATGGGGTATCAGGTCTGGCCTATGGCTGGCAGGGGGAGCTGGATTCCTGTCTGCATCAGAATAGTCCCTATATACAAGGTAATCACCCCACCTCACCCCGACTTCAGTTCTCCCATTTGTGTATTAGAACAATTAACAGTGCATACCTTAACTAATCATGAGAGCTAAATGTAAGATTTTTAGCACAGTGCAGACAAGTGCTCAAATGCAAACCCTCTAAGAAGAGAGGAATTTCTATTCATGTTTCTCCCTTTGGTACCCTAGAGGCAGGAAACCAGGTCTTGCCTTCAGTAGCTGCAAGCGAAGTATTTGTTGACTGGTAAATGAATGAGTGAGAGATTAAATGCATCCCTCCAAAGCTGGTTCCCTCCCTCACAGCTCCTCCTCTGGTTTAATTCTGACAAGCCCTGCCTTTTGACCTCATCAGGGATTTTATAACCTAGGATGGGCCTGATACACCGCTTTTCAAACTGGTCACCCGCCTCCTTTTAAACCCATGCATAGAGCGATTTGCTTCAATGATTTTACCACTCAGAGTTTTCATGTGTGAAAACAATAGCTAAAGGGGAGGTCACCATGGCTCTTTCAGGTGGCACAGCACTAAGCCCCAGCCTCAGGCTAGGGCAGAGCCTACACCCCACTGACAGGATGGGTTTGCACTCACGAGAAAGCGGCCTTGCCCTCCTCCATGTCTTTCCCCTTGGCTCCAGGACCAGCTTTGCCACACAGGTTAACAGCAATGCACATGAGAAGGCCACACTTGTTCAGGAAATAGCAGGTAATGTCCATGATCACCAGGAGTAGAACAAAGATGACAATGAGGATGCCCACGATGGCACCAGTGCTCAGGCCTGTGGTGGGGCTGCCGTTGGCTTAAGTGGGAGAGAAATGGTTGGTGGTTAACAGGCTTGGCTGTGAACCCCTTGACCCTTTGACCAGCCATCCCTGGGGTGGGGTAAGACCCTGAGTCCCTGAACTTATGAACAGCTGTCCCTGGGGGGGGGGAGTGAGGTAGGGCTCTGAGCATGAAGCCAAGGCATTTGTAACCAGTGGCACCTTCCTCAGGGCCTCTTCTGCCTGGTGTAGGGACAGGAGGTTCTCTCCACTTTTCAGATGGGGCATGGTAGCCTCATATCACCCAGCGGACATGGAGGCTCCCACAAATTATAATGAGAGAGAGGATTGTGATCTCTATCTTCATTCCTGCCCTCCCCAACTCTGAACCTCCTTCCTAAAGCATATGTTCAACTGGCCTTTGTGAATCCTGGAAGCAGACTGTTCCCAGACAGGTGGATACTGAGTAAGTTGAACCCAGGAGGGCTCTGCTGTATCTCTGGACCAGTGCAAAATGGTTTTCTGGGGAGTTAGGCAGTGGCTGCTGGTTTCAGGCTGTGCAGTGGGCTCCAGGCACAGTAACAGACATGGTCCCATATGAGGTTCCCAGGAATGTCTTGGGCCTTGTGGAAATGTCAGGCGCAGTGGGATGTCCAAAGTATGATTCAACTTCCTCTCCCCTCTTGAAGAGTAAGTTCAAAGGACTTTAACTCTGAGGGAACTGGGGCTCAGTTTATCCGTTCTCATGCAGTCCCAGGAGGCTGCATGTGACCTACGTGACCCTGGAGACACAGCAGCCTCCCCAGGCCCCAGGGGTAAGGCGAAGGGTCTGGGAATACTCACCATGTGGGAGCCCAGCATTCTGGGATCAGGCTTCAGGAAAACCTGTAGACTTACCCAGATCCGAACATTCTCACAGACAGTCATACCCACGCACAGGACTAATGTCCACAAAGTCACATTCTCACATCCTGACAGCACCCAGCCTCCTACTTCTGCTTGGGTTTTCAGTCTAGCTCTCCTGGTGTTCATCAGTAGTCCTCCAATGCCTTGGCCTATAGATTCTCTCAGACGGATTCTGCCTGAGTTCCCTGTGTGGCCCCACTGACATCAGTTTTCTAGGAGGAGATTTGAGGTGATTCTCATCAGTGGTGGTATTGTGGGCGGCAAAATGTTGCTGCGTTCTGCCTCTGTAAGTCATTGTGGGGACAGTAGTTTCAGATTAACATATGGGTCCTTCTCATTCGTTCTTCTTCAAGTGCTGCTCTATTCCACCCCTAGACCCTATCTGATGTTTCCTGTGCCCTGAAGGGATTAAGAACACCCAGGTCTGTGGACTTCCTGCAAGAACTGCAGCTGACAGTTCTTAGGAATTAGTCCCAACTGTTTCCATACCAAACTTGGCTCACTATCTTTTGCCGATGGCCAAGCCTGGTCCAACAGTCTGCCAGTCTAATCTTATGCCATCCCTTTAGACAAGGAGGAATGGGCAACTCAGGATAAGTGGTACCACCTGTGGGCTGCCATTTTTCTTTTAATAATGTTGGCTATTTGTGACGGGATCTCACTGCCTGTACTTCCTGGGAGCTGAGCTTCCAGGTGTGTACCATCACACCTGGCTTCCACTCTCTGTTCCTTGCGTAGGCCGTGTTCTATACCGGGAGGCCTTGTCCAGCTACTGTAGTGCTTCTCTAGGGGTTGTAGCGTTCCACTGTTCCTAATTACAAACTTCAGGTCTAGCCCAGAATGCCAGAGGAGAGTGCTCGTACCAATGCCTCAAGGGGCCCTAGGGCCTGAGCTAGAGGAGACCTCAGGTTCAGAAACATTTTCATTCTTTGGCATTTTGATTTGCTTCCCATTCTTTGTTCCTTGGGACTTTGGGCTGGTCTTTTCTAATCCTTCACTTTTCTAATCCTTCATACTCCAGTTGGTATCTCTGAGAAGGCCCAAGATGCGTAAAGAACACTAGGTACCAGGTATGTGGGCTTTGGGAAAGCAGTCCCTGGCCTCAGCCCTCAGTTAGAGGGGCTTGTTCTTCCAGTGCCTGCTTGAGAACTTCTCTGTTTTCCTCACTCATGTGAAGGAAAAGAAGATGCCCTGATCTCCTTGATCTTTATGATCCCAAGGGGTTTCCTTGCATAAGAAAGTCATCTTGACCTCAAACTTCTGACACCTGATAGGTGTCAAGTGCCCATTTCATGAGGAAAGAGCTAAGTAGCTTTTTTTTTTTTGGGGGGGGGGGGGAGTGTTACCTATGAATTTTCACACTTAGTGGCACACTTAAAAAGTTTCTTGAGAGTAAGTGTTATTTCTCTGTAGCCCAGGCTAGTCTGGGCCTTACTCTGAAGCTCAGTCTAGCCTCACATTTATGAGAACCTTGCTGCCTCAGCCTCTTGAGTATTCTTATTACAGGCACGAGCTACCATTGCCTATGTCAACAGCAATGATTTTTATCTTGAACTCCATACCTAAATACAGTCCTAAGTGGCTGCTCATCTCTTGACTCCGGAGCCCTGTCTCCAGCCTCATGACTACTCATCTTTTCAAAGAGAGAAAAATAGAACATGGAAAAGCATGTCTGAGTATGAGGAGATGGACGGAGTTTGCTCTGGGCCCAGCAGAACCAGCTGGAAGCTTCACTAGTTCTGAGCACATTTGAAGGGAGGTGTCCAAGGGTATAGACTGTAATGGGACATAAGCAAAAAAGTGGATCCGTGGTCTCCCTCTCATTTGACAGAAAGATCAAAGCTTTTCTCGGCCTATCTGGTCTCACATGTGTGGTCTCCATGTAGCCCTCCCCCCACCCCCCAGTGACCCTTGTAAAGCAGGGTCTGACCTTCAGGAATGTGTTCCAGCCCAGGCTGGTCTGCTTGCTGCCTGATGAACACGCCAGCCTGTCATCTCCCCAGGACGGGCTGACTGTGTAGGTATGTTGTCTAACAGGCCTCAGGTCTCGTGCTACCTTCATGGAGATCTACCTTGTCCTCTTTATCTACCAAGCCACTCTGCCCTATTCTCTTCTTGCCACCATCTGCACCCCTTTTTTCCCTGGGTATTTATATGCATACCCTCTCTGCATGGCTTTTCTGGAGCACCCCAGCAGGTGCCTACTCTCTCCTCTGTCTCACCAGTGGCTAGGGTGACCATGACTTAAGACAAAGGCTCACAGGATATTTGTTGGGTGAGTCTTCAGCCTGGAGATGAAAACATCACTCCAAAAATTTAATTGTGTGTTACAAGAAGGATAAAGGACCTGATTTCTTTACAGCGCCAGTAGATGTTACTAAGGAGGTAGGGTAGGGGGTGGGACAGATGACAGGCCCACAGGAAGGATTGGCAAACATAGGAAGTCAAACAGAGCAAGCTGTCTTGGGAGCTGTGTTTCTGGTGAGCTCTCTGTTTCTGGAAGCATCAAGGAGAGATAAGAAAAGCTCTTGGTAGAGATGTTGTAATCCCGTGAATGAGGCCTTGGGTTGGAGATGGTCTACAAATGTCTTTTCAACCACAAATACCTCATTTCAAACTGGAGCTGTACAGAGCTCCACCCATGATACTGTTTCCAAGATGCCAATCTCCACAGTGTATATAGGAGGGACTTTTTTTTCTATAAGACTGAAATGCTGGTAGTCGCCATCTTTAGTTATTGATCTTTGTGATTTTCATTTTTTAATTAAAAAAATGCCCTTTAACACTAAACAGCAAATTCTCTATCTGTAGTGGGGTTCCTGGGTGGCTTCTTATATACTTAGCATATGGGGTTCTTCATTCTAGAACTAGAATCACTGGGGAGATGAGGGTCAAAAACTGGGTCACGTGAGGGCCAACATTCCTAGGTCTTCCCTGCCCTCAACTCCAGTGGCTCATGCCTGATTCCAGGATATGTCACCAAAGGGGTCACCACCTACTTTGTGTTTCAGACATGGTCTGATGTAGATGCACAGAGAAAGACAGAGAGGGAGAGAGAGAGAGAGAGAGAGAGAGAGAGAGAGAACAAAGACTCTTTCCTGAATGAAGGGGCTACCAGCCCACCATTTCCAGTGACTGATTCTTCCTTCTACAGCAAGTGAGTACTCCTGAAGTTGGAGGGGATGATGGTGGCCTTGACGGAGGGATGGAAACAAGAGGACGCTTTATACAAATTAAAGAGCACTGGACTCAGGAGACAGTCACATCCTTGTGGGTGTTACAGGGTAGTTTAGTCCAAGAAAACTAGTAGGACAAGGTCTAGATCCTCATCTTATTGAACAGGTCATAAAAGCAAAATCAATCAAACAAACAAACAAAACAAAAAAAAACCCAACAAAAAACAAAACAACTCAAAACACAATACAACAAACAAAATAAAAAAAAAAACCCTTCAGATGTCGAAGGGCACTGAAGGGGTGACTCATTGACTCAATTAGAAATTCAGCAATATATTCAATCCAGTTTGGGTTGGTTTTGTATACTGAAAACACAACTAAGTGCCTTGCACATAAAGAGGGCTTCTTGGGGCAGCTTTCCAGCATCTCTCTAGGCAAAAACTGCCCCAAGCAGTGCCTGGCTGAGACTGTCTCTTCTGTGGTTCCTGGTTTGAGAGCTTGGCATTCAATGCAGGAACTCACATATATTTGCTTTCTTATGCCTTTAGATGGATCTCATATTTTCCAGGTGCCCAGCTGGGTCTGAGTCATTGCATCATCGTTCCCAGGTGCAGAAGTCCCGGCTCCATTATGACTGTCAAACCTCCAAATTGGTTGAACTTGTGAGTTAGGTTCCTTATATACCCTGTGTGTCTGCCTGTTCCTTCCTGGAGTTGGCTGTGCACAAAATGCAGCGTGTCCACAGAAGCTTCTGTCAGTTTCTATGTATCATGAGATATTCATGAGTGCGTGTGCACGGGTGTGTATGTGCATATAGCACTGCAGCTCGTGGAACATGCCACCCTGATCTGGTCTTCAGAGTGACTGCCTCCCCATTTCTGCAAAGGCTCATTCCTCTCCCGTTGTCTGCTGGGGACTCCCAGGCAGCCCAGATCCTGACACCCTCAAGATCATTT